TTGGGCACCCAGCTTGAGTTTAAGCCACCAGGTCCGGGACTCAAACCACAGTTGATTACATGAGAGTCCAGCAACACAGACACTACATCATCTGCTGGTCCCTCTTTTAAAAAATATTTTTAAAAATTATTTCTTTATTTAATTTTGTTACTATTATTTACTTTTTAATTTGACAAAGGAGATGGGGGTGGGGAGATCACGAGAAAAGGGGAGGGTAAGAAAGCAAGCTGCCAGGTATGGGACGATGTCGCGGTCCACCTTGTGGGAATCCAGCACGTTAACCACCACACCACCCGCTGGCCCTTTAAAATATTTTTTGCTGAGACCAGCAGATAGTGTAACCATTACGTAGCTGGACTCCCAGGTAGTAGTTAACCATGGTGAGTCTGGGACCCAGTGGTTTAAAACACTCAGCGTGTGTGTGTGTGTGTGTGTGTGTGTGTGTGTGTGTGTGTGTACCTGCATGCCGCAAATCGAGAGAACGGAGAAGAGATTGTGGAAGAGATTGTGGCATGGCCATCCCTCTGGAAGGTGATTTCTCACTTTCTGTCTCTCTGGCAAGCACATGTCCCCTATAGCAAAAATCTCTCTTAAAAAAAAAATATATATATACATAATATATATATATAATTACATAACATATATAAAATATATATTGCCATAGGGTGTGTGCACTTGTCTGAGAGAAGGACAAGCAGAGAAGGGGAAACTGAGAAATCACACAAGGGGATGCCCTCGTAAAATTTCTTTTACTCCATTCTCCTCCTGGACTTTGGGCATTCATGCACACACAACTAGAGCTATTTTCAAGCTGCTGGATCCAGGACACGAACCATGATGAGCCATTGGGAGTCCGGTGCCCTAACCACCATGCACCCACTGGTCCTAATGCACCAATTTTCTTATCAAAAAAGAAAAGGGTGTAAAACATAAAAGAGGTATAGAAACACCCAAATATTCTACCATCTTTCTGCTACAGCTAGGACGATAAACAACTAGAATTTATCCCAGAAAGATAATATCTCTGCTTATGCAGATGACAGTGAAAATGCTAAAACCTGGAAAGACTGTACATTGAAAGAAATTGTTAACAAAATAACAAAAAGTCTATTCAAATAAGATCTTCATAATAATTAGATGTATTCTGTGGATACATTTTTATATAGACTTGGGTCATGATTTTACAACCAAATAACTAACATCCCTCTAAATGATCTAATTACATTAAACACCAGGGTTAAGATAAATATTAATAATTTTTGAGAAACAAAGAAAAGGGAGGGGGAGTATTCCACTTGCATAAATTCAAACACTGTCATTTGATACTAAGAATAATCTGACTTCAGGCCGTTTTTTTCCTACAAAGACTAGTTTCATGCTTTGTATTAAAAGATAAATGATTTTTTGTATTTATGTATGGCTTATAGAGAATATCTCTGAATCACTGGGACTAGAAATAACTTCCACAGCAAAAGTGTATTATTTTGGGACCAGCAGTTGGCATAATGGCTGTCGCTAGATTCCCATGTAGTCGACCGCGGTTCAAGTCCTGGACCTGGTGGCTTACACTCATGCCAGGCACGTGTACGTGCGTGCCCAAGATCCCGAGAGGAGAATGGAGGAGAAGGGATTGCGGTGTGGTCATCCCCCTCAGGGGTGATTTCTCCCTTTCTATCTCTCTGTCTCTCTGGTGAGTGCACGTGTCCTATAGCAAAAACCTCCCCCCCAAAAAAATCGTTTTAGGGTTTATGTGCAGAAATAAGGATTTCTGACTATTACCAACACATCAGTACTTATTAACCATTAGAAAATATCAGGGCTTTATAAAAGTTTTTCCAATCCAGACCATGTTCAATTCTAAATGAAACAGTAAGAGAAGTTGTAAAATCATTTGGTAGAAATTAACTACTATAAAATTTTACAAATAAATTTTGTGTTTAGCAGTCGTTCAGCACTTTCAATTATTGAACATAGTTACCCTCAAACATGGAAACATGCATCGGTATCCTGAATATGAATGGCAAGGAAATAAGCAATTTTTTTTTTTTTGAGAGGATTTTTTGCTATAGGGGGTGTGCGCTCCCAGAAAGACAGAGACAGACAGAAAGCGAGAAATCACCCCGCAGGGAGGATGGCCATGCTGCAATCACTTCTCCTCCATTCTCCTCTCAGGATCTTGGGCACGCACGCACACGCGCCCCTAGTGAGTTTAAGACACCGGGTCTGGGACTGGAACCTCGGTTGACTACATGGGAGTCCAGAGAGACATAGCTGTTATGCCAACTGCTGGTCCTGGCAATAACCAATTTTAATAGCTTGGCCTTAGTAGAGGATAGGTTTGAAAGGCAATTGACGATGCTAATATCAGAACTGATAACTTTTGTTAGGATGTTTTCCAGGTTTTTAAAAATGTCTTTATTGGTTTTATCTTGCCTTGATGCCTAGATTCTGAGGTTGGTCTTAAATTAGACGGCTCAACCTTCACCACAGAATGCAATCAGATGTCTGTTCCCTTAAGTTAAAACCATAAAACTAAGTTTTAACTGAAGATGTTTTTAAAACAACGAAATTGTCCAAACTTTAAAAGACTGGGAACTGCCACCGGTCTGTTTTTCAAACACGTGCCCCGGAAACTCTACCAACAAGGAAAACGAATAAGCTTTTAAGCATCACACTGTGTTTCCTGTACTACTAATGCCTGCAGATTTCCAGCATTAGGTTTCTTCCCAACGGCAGGGCCCAAACATGAGGTGGATGCGCGTGAGCATTATTTCTTTTTTTAACTCCTGCAAAAGGCCCGCAAACGATAAACGCAAAGAGCCGGATTTCATCCTCCTTGCCCCTCCATCCCTCCTTTATGAAGATGGTTTTAATTCTGGCGGGACCTGAGGCGGAAAACTGTGGTTCTGGAGGGACAGAACCAGTGCGTAGGTGCGCGTGAACACCGCAGGAGGTGGCTGCAAGACGTGATCACGGAGAGGTAGGGGAGGATTTGGCCTCTCGTAGGGCGGGAAGAGGCTGCGAGAGCTGCCTGTTCTGCTTGACCGGGGCCGGCACTCGGGGAAGATGGTGGTGGTCACAGAGCAGGGCGATTGCGGGGGATTCCCCGCTAAGGGGAGGCGCTCATGTCCACCAGCGGTGAATGACTCGGGAGTAACCAAAGGAGCTCAACACTGGACCCGGGAATTCTTGACCGAAAAGAAAAAAGGGCGCCGAGAAACAGGGTTATTATGGGATGGCTACGGGGACTCCTTAGGGGAAATTACGGGAGCTTCCTTACCCGCCAATTGCTGTAGAGCCTCTTCACTCGCCGATAATAAGCGTCTTTGTCCAGAGTCACAGCCATAGCCGCAGACGCCGCTTCTCCGCGGGTTCCGAGAATCACGCGAGGTCCCGGTTCTACCACCCGCTCTCGGCCCCGGAATCCCGCACTCTCCCAGTGACCCGGAAGTATCGACCTCAAAAATGCCCTTTCCGTTTCCGGGTCCCAACAGCGGTTGGAATTTTTTTTTTTTTTTTTTTAAATCTAATCCTCTCTCCCGAGGTAGGGGGAGGAAGGCAAGAATGAGTGGGGAAATCAAGAAAATGTGCACCACAAAGAGTCGATTTTCGCGGGGTTTTCTTGTCAACTTCGCCACAGCCGCACGCGAGCGACGTCATCACGTGACGCTCGCCCCACGCGAGCTGCCGCGCGCGGCTGAGAGGCCCCACCCCGCCCGCCCCGCATGGGGAAGCGGAAAGAGCGGGCTCTGGCATGAGACACCAGTGGGGAGACAACGGCGTGACTGGCCGGGCGCCCCTCCTAGAAATGGTGGGGCAGGCCTCGGGAGGACCCTCGGTGCCAAGTTCTGGGTTAATGGCTCTGATTCTCAGACCAGGCAAACAGAGCCCACCTTCGCGATAAACTGGACCCAAGCTATCCAGGAAAGGACGTAGCAACGAAAAGAAAAAGAAAATGCCCAGGGTGCATCTGAGCGGTGGGATGGTAGGAGGCAGGCCGAAAGAAAGGAATAGCTTGAGGGAAAGCACCAACCAGTTCCTCCCTGCAGCCCCCGCCCAGCACAGTCCTGACAGTCCATCAAAAATGACACCGTTCTCTGGCTTCCCCCGAAGCACCGTTACTTCAGTTAATTCAAGAGAAACTGTAAATGTCCATGACGAAATTCATCTTTCTCATCTCTCTAAGAAGTTGGAGTTTGAGTCTAGAACATTTTAGCTACTATTTACCTTAAATCATTCCCTTGCCTTTAGCAAGCCTGGACAGTCTGGAGTTCTATTAGAGGCGTACAGTCGACTTGTCTGCGCTACGAAGGTAACAGTAGAACAGTATTAAGCTTTAGGAAAGTGGTGTTGAAATTACACGCTAAGAGCATAGATCTAAAATAAATAATTATATCGGGTTTGAGCAAATATAGGACAAGGGAAGAGTGGAAAAGGATTAACTTAAATTTATTAATGCCAAGGGGAAGGAAGGTAACAGTTCCTGACCCTCCAGCTGTATCCACAGTTCGGTCAGGAACAGGCTCTGCCAGAGGCTAGGGCCACGCTACATAGTCTGTAGTTAATGGAGGTGTTTAGGGAGGGGTGAGCGCACCGGCAGCTCTAGGCTCCTTTCCTTCCCCAGAAATGAGGAAGTGATCATGTATTATTTTAGGAGTTCCCCTACCCACCCAATCCTCTCAAAACTGGGAGCAATCAGGTACAAGTTTTCTGGTTTCTTTTTTCTCCTTTTCACCTCCTGGAGTCCTGGGTTTCCCCACATCTCCCCTGCCCCTCCCACTTTTCCATAGTCCAAGGGCCAGAGTAAATGAAAATACAGCAGCCACCCAAGCAATGGGGACCATGTTGGGACTTCAGTCATCGGCATCTTCGCTGGAGTCTGAGTTGGCTGGCATCATAGGATCATCAATGAGTGAGAAGTCCCTTTCTGAGCTATCATAGCCCTGAGATAAATCATCTTCATCCTCATCATCGTCGTCATCCTCAGGTTGCAGTGGTGGCAACCGCAAGGCAGTACCAGAGGTGGTAGTCGCTGGTGAAGAGTAGCCAGTGGCTCTCAAGCCTGGATGGTGATGGTGGTGATGGTGGGGGTGGGGGTGGTGGTGATGGTGATGAAGCATGGTGCTGGAGTCTACATGAGGGGATGATGCTGCACCACCCATCACAAACGGCATAAAAGGCAGAGATGCAGAAGTGGCACTGCTGTGACCCAGAGATGACACAGACTGTAGGCCACTACTGCTATGTTGAAAGGTATTATGGAGAGATAGGGACCCAGTGCCTCCACCCTGCATCAGGGCCATCATTTTAGAAAGGTCTGGTCGCATCCTACGGGCCCGCTTCTTACTGCTGTCTGGTGTAATAGGCCCAGGCAAAACCCGGTTGAACACAGTTTCAGTGTGGTGACCCTGTGAAGAGGGAACATAAGATAAAGAAATATAAAAAAAGAAGCAAAAGCTTATAAACTCCTACCTTACCATTTTTTTCTTTTTATTGAATTTATCTTAGAGCAGAGCAATTATAATCAGAATAAGATTGATGGGGAAGAAATGCTGTATTTGGTTGAAGCATTCTGATGCTGAAGCTAAGATCAAATATTTGATACTGATACTCGGGTGAACTAGAAATTTTTGTTTGTTTTCCATGACTACATTGTACTTTCACTCCAGGCAACCATTTCACAAAGCCATCCTTTATTAAAAGTGTTCTAGGTAAGACAGTGAGTGAATCAGTACATGCACAGAAAAGGAAATTCACTTAAGTATCTATTGACAGGTTGTTTACATGATCTTAACACGTGAAATCCAGTACAATATTGACATTTACAACACTATCCTTTATTATCACATTGGAATGGAGGTCAGATTAAGACTTTTGGATATCTATGATACCGAAGTATTTTAAGTAGTTCTTCACTAAGTTTAATAAAGTACCTTTTCCCATGTTGATAGAAAACTTAAATATAGGGACCAGCAGTTGGTGTAATGGCTATGTGGCTAGACTCCCATGTAGTTGACTGCAGTTTGAGTCCTGGGCCCAGTGGCTTAAACCCATGCTAGGCGTGTATGCATGCATGCCCAAGATCCCAAGAGAAGAATGGAGGAGACGGGATTGCAGTGTGGCCATCCCCCCTGGGGGGTGATTTCTTGCTTTCTGTCTGTCTGTCTTTCTGGCGAACACAGGCGCCCTATAGCAAAAATCTCTCCAAAAGGGACCGGCAATTAGTGTAATGGCTATGTCGCTGGACTCCCATGTAGTTGAACGCAGTTCGAGTCCCGGATCTGGTGGCTTAAACTTACGCCGGGCACGTGTGTGTGCACGCCCAAGATCCCGAGAGGAGAATGGAGGAGAAGGGATTGCAGCGTAGCCATCCGCCCGGGGGGCGATTTCTTGCTTTCTGCCTCTGTCTCTCTCCGTCTTTCTGGCAAGCGCATGTGCCCTAAAGCAAAAATCTTTCAAAAAAAAATAAAAATAAAAATAAAACCTCTCCAAAAAAAATAAACAAACATATGCTGAATTTTAAATGGTTTCTTCTAAAATTTTCTGACTGCAAATTCTGATTTAAGTTCAGTGAAGCAAGAGATACTTTATGTGTCTCTGTTTTGCTATTGTCTAAGCAGCATTCTGGGTAAACTGGCATTAAACTCATACAACTGGTACCTATGTCTTTTGAACTCTTTCTCCTTCTAAACCTAACATCTAAAGTGGGGACTTTTAAACATCTTACTTCCCTATTTCTATAAACTGTAAAAATATAATTATAATAGGGGGTTGGATGGCAGCACAGCAATATGGATTCATGTCCGGACATCTCCCCTTGAATTCATGAGGCATGTATGTGCCCACGATCTGGGATTGGTTGGGCTAAAGGTGAGTGAGAATATCAAGACCATGTGGCAGATGCTGTCTCTCTTGCTAATAGAGGAAATAAATAACAAAATTTCTAAGAATATATGTACAGTCTAATAATAATGTAGTACTAGATTCATTGTAAATTCTACATTAAGAATTCTGAGGACTGGGACCAGCAGTTAGCGTAATGGCTATGTTGCTGAACTCCCATGTAGTCGATCACAGTTCAAGTCCCGGACCCGGCGGCTTAAACTCACGCTGGGTGTGTGTGCGTGCATGCCCAAGATCCCAAGAGGAGAATGGAAGAGAAGGGACTATGGCGTGGCCATCCCCCCGGGGGGGGTGACGTCTCGCTTTCTGTCTCTCTGTCTCTGTCTTTCTGGCGAGTACACGCGCCCTATAGCAAAAACTTCTCAAAAAAAAAAAAAAAACAAAAAAAGAATTCTGAGGACCAACAGACAACATAATGTTTGCATTGCTGGACTCCCACGTAGTAGATGGCAGTTTTGAGTCCCAGCCTTGGCAGCTTAAGACACACCAGGCACGTGTTCATATGTGCCCAAAATCCCAACAGGAGAATAGAGGAGAAGGGATTGTGACAGGACCATCCAGTTTCTTGCTTTCTGTTTCTGTTTCTCTGGGGAGTGCGCATGCCCTATGCCAAAAACATCTCTTAAAAAATAAAAATTCTGAATTAGTCATATTATCCTTTTCTGTGATTGCCTGTGATCTTTCCTTAGCATTATCAACTGATTATAAGAGACTAGCAAAAATACTTAAATAAAGATAAGTAATACTGGGTCAGCCAGTGGCATAATGTCAAGGTGACTAGATCTCACAAGGCCAGATCAGTGGTTCAAGTCCCAGGGGCCTAAAAAAATCCCACTGGTTAAGTATGTGTGCACATGCCCAAATCCCGAGAGGAGAATGGAGGAGAAAGGGCTGCAGCATGGCCATGCCTCTGGGGAAAGCTATCTTATCCCCCCCCCCCCCGGCAAGTACACATGCCATATAGCAAAAAAAACAAAACAAAACAAAACAAAAAAACTAATATTGTAGAAAAATTCACTGCCCCCTTTTTAAAAATTTGTTATAGGGTGTGTTTGCTCACTAAAAAGTTAGAAACTACCCACAATCCCTTCTCCATTTATCCCTCTGTTAGAGAGTTTTGGTATATATGCACACATGACCAGTGCATTCTTCAAGCTGCAGGGTCCAGGACTTGAACCAGACAATTGGCCGTGTGGGACTCAAATACCACGACATTGGGTGGCCTAAAAACGTCTCTTTTACAGGCTGCTCTACAATGCTAAATTGAAGACAAGAGATGGCAACAGCTTTATAGTCATCAGCCTTTCCCATGTCAATCACTGTGCTTATTTACACTTCTGGTCACATGGAGGCTAAGAGGGAAAACCAGAGCACTTTTCCATGCTATCATTTTCACTACTGTAAAAACAATAACAAGTCTATATGAGATATTTAGAATGTATTAATTGGAAAAAATAGATACTAGTCACTTGAAAAATAATTTTGTGAAAGGAGAAATGTCATGTGGTTACACGAAGACACACAGATGAGGGGACTTTTTAAACGTTTCTGAAGGGGACCAACAGATGACAAAATGATTATGTAGCTAGACTTGCATGAAGTCAACCACATTTTGAGTCTCAGACCTGGGAGCTTAAAACTCATGCCGGGTGTGTGTGCATGCATGCCCAAAATCCTAAGAGAATGGAGAAGGAATGGTGGCATGGTCATGCCCCTTGGGGGGTGATTTCTCGCTTTCTCTGTCTCTCTGGCGAGTGTTTGTGCCAGAAGGCAAAATAACTAACATAAAAAATAAGGCTAGCTAGTGATGTGGTGATAAGGGTAGCTGGATTCCATGTAGCTGGCTGTGCAGTCTGAGTCCCAGCCAGGCAGCCTGAAAACCTTGGGACTAGCAGTTAGCATAATGGCTATGTTGATGAACTCCCATGTAGCCGACCGCAGTTCGAGTCCCAGACCTGGTGGCTTAAACTCATGCCGGGCGCCTGTGCGCGCATGCCCAAGTTCCCGAGAGGATAATGGAGGATAATGGAGGAGAAGGGATTGCTGTGTGGTCATTCCCCCAGGGGGTGATTTCTCGCTTTCTATCTCTCTGTCTTTCTGGCAAGCGCACATGCCCTATAGCAAAAAATCTCTCTCAAAAAAACCCAAAAAAACCACCACACCAGGCATGTGTATGTGCCCAAAATTATGAAAGAAGAACAGAGGAAAGAGATTGGGTGTGACCAGATCCCATTAGGAGGTGCTTTCTCCCTCTCCCTCTGGCAAGTACACTTGCCCTCTGGCAATTCATAAACAATAAAACAGGTGGCCAAGAGGTAGTGCAGCAGTTAAAGCACTGTACTCCCCCATGGCTGACTATGGTTTGAGACCCGGACCTGGAAGCTTGAAAATCACACCAGGTGTGTGTGAGTATATGCCCAAATTCCCAGGACAAGAATGGAGAAGGGATTTTGGCGTGGCCATTCTCCTGGGGTGTGATTTCTTGCTTGCCTTATCACTGTGCCATCATCTCTGGTGAGTGCACATCCCCTATATTTGGCCTGGCAGGTGGCATGGTGGTTAAGGTGCTGGACTCCCACACAGCTAACCATGGTTCAAGTCCCAGACCTGGCAGCTTGCTTTCTCACTTTACCCCCCTCACTCTGATCAAATTAAATAATAATGATGATGAATAAAATTAAAATAATCCTTTTTTTAAAAAAAGTAGGTGTATTATATTTCGTTTTTTCATTTGTCAAACAAAGTTGTTACCAAAAAGAAAACCTTATGTTGTTTAGATCCAAGTATTCACTAACAAAACTGTTGGGTATTTCTTTTGGTCTAAGAGTACAAAGAAAAATTTACTGAGAGTAAGTGTTAGCAAGGATGTAGAGAAATTAGAACCCTTGTACAACGCTGGTAGCGAGTGACATGGTAGTTAAAGTGGTTAGATCCCACATGGCTGACTGCACAGTTGAGTCCTGGACCCCATGGCTTGAAAAACATGTATCACACATATGTATGCATGTCCAAAATCCACACAAGAGAAATGAAGAGGGGGTTGTGTGACCAAAATCCACACAAGAGAAATGAAGAGAGGGTTGTGTGACTATCTCTTTTGGGGGTAGTTTTTCACTATCCCTCTTTCTCTCTCTCTCTGGCAAGTGCACGTGCCCTATAGAAACTAAAATAAATAAGTAACACACACACACAAAACTAACAAACAGAATAAGGCATGCATAGCCAAGAGAAACTTCTGCAGTTATATTTTGGTGAGAAGAAGAAATAATTATGGATATTCAGGGCCGGCAGGTGGTGTGGTGGTTAAGGGTGCTGGACTCCCCCATGGTCGACCGCAGTTCAAGTCCCAGACCTAGAAGCTCTCTTTCTCACTTTCTCTCTCACTCTCTCTTTGATCCTCTCTAGTCAAATTAAAATAAATAAATAAATAAATAAAGTAAAATAATTCTTAAGAAAAAAACAACTATGGATACTTAATTTGCTAAATGGTTTATAACTGTGATAAAAGAGAAGTACAGATAAAAATATGAAATAATCTGGGACCAGCAGTTAGCGTAATGGCTATGTCACTGAACTCCCATGTAGCCGACCACGGTTCGAGTCTCAGACCTGGTGGCTTAAACTCATGCCGGATGCGTGTGTGTGCATGCCCAAGATCCTGAGAGGAGAATAAAGGAGAAGGGATTGTGGCATGGCTATCCCCCCGGGGGGTGATTTCTCGCTTTCTATCTCTCTGCCTTTCTGGCGAGCGCCAGTGCCTCTAGGAAAAACCTCTTAAAAAAAAAAGGGAATCATCTAATGACCAAAATTATCATAAATTGTAAACTATGGTGTCTTATGCTTTTCTCATTACTGAAGTATTATTACTAATTTTCAGCTTCTTATATGTTTGGAAAGCCCATGACTGTTTTTCTTAGTAGGCCCCCAATCACTCCTAAAACATACAGAATTATAAAACTTTTAAGAGAATTTCTACTCTGAAACCCTCACTTTTCAAAATGTAGAAATTGAAGAATTAAAACGATTTGCCAAAAATTCTCTAGTTATTCATAAGAGTAGGATAAGCCCTGAATGTCTTTTGTAACACATCTTACTAATTCTTATATTTTCGTATGCTTAAAGTACAAAAGTTTGTTTTTAAAATTTTATATTCTTTTATAGATGAAGATACCAAACAGCAGGATATGTAACAATGAAAACACTCTGGTATCCTTATTGGGACAATGAAGAAAATTTTTCTCAAGACCATGCATTGGAAAATGATAAGCGTTAGTGACAATCATTGTTGAAAGTCTTGTAATACTGTATCTAGTGTGGGAATAGAGTGGTAATGCTTCAGTCTCACTTACCTTTTTTCCATTCCTAGAGTTAGCTGTCTGTACTGGTTCCATTCCCAAACAGTTGAGCTCTGCCTTATTGTTTTTTTTACATCGCTGCCACTTCTGTTTTCTGCGATCCTCCATATACTGCAATAGAAAATATCAGTTACCCTGAAGAAATTTTCTCTGAAGTATTAAGACACTAGGATCTTTTGTTTGGTAATAGATGCTTATTTTACAGAAAAATAAAGGATTAGTCCTAGTGGAAAACTGCCAATAAGTGGATCTCTCCCAAAAAAATTAAGTGTAGTAGTACATACTTGCTTAGCATTTAGTTTAATGCAGTGCTTTAAGCAATATTTTACTTTCATCCTCACTACAACTCTGTGAGATAGGAAGACTAAGTATTATTACTTTTATCCTACAGATGCAGAAACAATAATGTAAAATGGCATGCTTTCTTCTTCTCATAAAGCTTAAATACCAAAGGCATGATTTTAAATCTTGCTGGATGGAACTGCCACTCACCGCTAGAAATCGGGGATCGACAGCGAACTCTGGATGACCCTGTAACCACATCTCCAGTTCAGCCCGGCGAGGGGCATCCTCACCCACCAGCAAAGTACCATCCACCTTATTGATGACAGGGATCCGGGTTTCCAGGTCCACATCAAGGTGATTAGGCTCTTCCATGCACTCCACCTCCAGCTGCAAACCCAGAATCCACCCCCATGAGCATATACTCTTCTTTGGGGCAGGGAGGAAAGGGGAGCAGAGCCAATGGTAATCATGAGATAATTCTATTATCTTTCAGTCCCTCAATCCCAATTACCTTCTAATTACTAGGAATATAAAGATCTTATCTAATCATCATGTTAAAAGCCTTCTCTACCACTCACCTCTACTAGCTTCTTTCTGTTCCCCTTCTTCTTATGAAATAGTGGATGTCCATCCCCCATTACTCCATTAGCCATCAACTTGTGCTTCTGGAATGTTAACTTCAATCCTTCCTCCTAGAAAACAACCCACCCAAAAATACATCATATGGCACTTACTTTTTAAAAGTGAAGATTAGCTTTAGGAAACTTGAGCTTAGGTTCATCGCGATGATGGTGAGAAGGAAGGCTATCTGACTAATGGGTAGAAATTAGAAATACTGGGACTAGCAAATGGCTTTATAGTTATGTCGCTGGACTCCCATGTAGTCGACCATGGTTCAAGTCCTGGACCAGTGGCTTGCAGCTCATATTAGGCACGTGTGTGTGTGTGTGTGCACCCAAAATCCCAAGAGGAGAATGAAGGAGAAGGGATTACAGTGTGGCCATTCCCCGAGGGGAGTGATTTCTCACTTTGTCTCTCTGGTGAGTGAATGTGCCCTGTAGCAAAATCTCTCTAAAAAAATTTTTTTAATTACAAGAAATTAGAAATACGGGGTCAGATGGTGGAATAGTAAAAACAAAGCTGGGACCACATGAGAATGTCCCAAGATCTGAGGCTTAGCGCCTTTCTCTATACATACAGGATGGGCTTGCATGTGTCCATGATCTATGCTACTTGAGGCTGGGGGTAGATTGCAGTGTTGGGACCCTGTTGGGACTGCCTGTCTGTCTCTCTTGGGAGAAACAGGTAAACCTTAAAAAAAAAGAAGAAATTAGAAATATTATACAAAAAAACTTAATACTTCTTCCTTAGAAAGATTTCACTTCTTGACCTAGTGCCCCTCAGATAGATTCATGAGAAGTAAAGATTATCTCAACAACACCCAACATAGGGTAAGTCCCTACCTGGTGTCTCAGTATTAGCATGGCAACTCATCACAGGGGCAAAATCCTGCTATTCCTATCACATACTAATTTAAGAAACTTTTCTTCTTTGAGTATTTAATGACCATCTAATAGGATTCAACAAGAAAGGGAATTGTGAAGAATAAAAGTTACCATCTATAAAACAAAAAATAACACTAGTTTAATTTCAGTAAGAACAATTCCTTTTTGGGACCAGCAGGTGGTGTGGTAGTTAAGGCACTGGACTCCCACGTGGCTAACTGAGGTTCTAGTCCTGGACCTGGCGGTTTGCTATTTCACTTTCCCTTTCTTTTTTCTCTAGTATGTTCTTCTAAGCTATAGCAAATTTAATAATAAATTAATTAATTAATTATTTAAAAAAATAAATTATTCCTTTTTAATTTAGTAAGGGCCACAATGCTTAGGTGTCTTTTAAACACCTTTCCATTAATTAAATTTTGTTTTTAAAAAAATCAAGCTTAGATCTACAATTGAACCACACAAAGTCTTGTGTTGACTTGAATTCCTTCAAAAATAAGGTTTCTTTTCATATAATCCTCAGGACTTTCCTCTCTTACCTCAATGACTTTTCTTAAATAGATCTTTCATGAGCTCTAATTTTTTTTCTCCTGGCATCTTAAAAGGTAGCTGACCAAATGAGTTTAGTATCCCATTTGTGAAACTAGTAATTACAAAGGACTACAATCTCCTTCTGCATTTCCCAATGCCTAAATGTTGAGCTTACATCTTTGATCTGAACTGTAAACTCCTTTTCATCCATGCCTCGGCGAAGTTTGGTGAACTGGGCTGCTGCTGTGGTAACTGCAGATGCCTCCTCCTCTGCAATGGAAGCTGCACTGCTACTTCGTGGTGTGGGCACTGGTGAGTCACCATATTCTCCTGGTGTCAATGAGGGACTGTCTAGTAAGTGGTTGCCTGGCCCCAAAATTCCTCCTGTTACCATTTCCTGGCTCCTGCGGCTAGAAGGCCACTTCCCTGAGAGTACAGCCTGGCATACGAGGTCAATGCGGTTTATCAGAACACGATCCTGAAATAAGAAATACAGTTTTAAAGACCTGAATACCACCATTGTGATCCTGAGATATACAATAGTACTGTCATTACCAGAATGGAGAAAATTCATAAGGCGGAAAAGGGGGAAGTAGTATTAATAGAACCCTAACTGAAATGGGAAGTATTTTATGAAAAAACATGTAGCAGTAAACACAATTTGAAAACTGCCAAACCATTTGTTCCTTGTTCCCTGTGTATGTTATGTTGTATTCCTGTACTCTACCTGTTAGGAGTGAGGCTGTTACCTTGGGCCACTCAGAGGCTCTTTGTCTTTCCTGCAGCAGCAGCAGCTCAGGGGTCATTTGTTCTCCATCTTCATTCGGGAATCCATCTTGGGACATAGTGAGGGACAGGAGACTCTCTTCATCATAGAGCTTTGAGCGGGACCGGTCAACAGCTAGAGAGCACACAGAATGTGGGAGGAAGGATGGAAGAATGTTACAAGGGAATGGTATTATACAGGCTTTGAATAAAGGCCCAAAGAATAGATCTCTTGACATTTTATCAAATCAAAATCTGAATCTCTCTCAAGAAGACACATTTAGAAAAGAAGGAAAAGTGCAGAAAAGGAAATAGGGAAGAGGGCCAACAGCCTGTCACATGCACTCACTTAGCTTCTCTTCCTTCTCGTCCTCACTCTCATCAGTGCTGGAGCTGGAGCTGGATGAGGATGAGGAAGAAGAGGATGATGGTGATAGCTTGCTCAAGTCCAGCTCAGAGTCTGAATCGTCCTCATCCTCCAGTTTGACTGGTGGAACACTCCGGGAAACCAGAGGGGTAGTATCAGAGGGGGCTACTTGCATTTCATAGTCTTGTGGGGTTGGTCGGCTCCTGGCCACCACCTCATGCTCTAACTTTAAAGTCAGACTCTCCAGACTGGGGACCTGGGCAGCTGTCTCCTCAGGTGACTTTTCAACAGGAGCATCTGGGCGCAGGGGTAATGGTGAGGCAGTGCGCGAGGTAAACTGCTGGTGCAGCAGTGGAGTAGAGCAGCGTGACAGGGATGGAGCTGGTGCTCCTGCTTGATGGTTCTGCATATAATTCATACGGGCAGCCAGAAAAGAGAAGTCTGGATCCTGCATGATGTTGCAGTCTGTTTGGCTCACCCCATGGCGGGCCGCCCCTCGTAGAAGCTCCCCATCATGACGAATAGGCTCCCACCATTTGGGCAGTTCAGGACCTGGAGGCTGACACAATGCCAGCCGATCTTCCAAAAGAGGGTGACATAAAACTTGTTCCCTTAAGCGCCGAAGCAATTCAATACGATAGAGAGTCCGTGAGGCCCTCTCCTCAGTGATGGGCTCAATGAACAAATTAGGGTCTGGGGGTTCTGTAAGAGATGGAGATGGAAGGAGTAATCAATCAAGAATCAGCCCTGTCACCATCTGTCCACCCTTGCCTTAGGTTCTCCATTCTCACTTACCATCGCCAGCTGCTGGGGGAAGGCGGCACACTTGGCGACACATGGCCACAAAGCCATGGAAGTACTTGGTAAGGCTTTCGTCTGTTTTCTTGTCCAGTCGAGCAAAAGTGCGGAAGCGATCCCAATGGAACTGCATGGTGTCAGGGTCATATTCCACACCAAAAGTAGACACTACTCGATAGAAATCAGTTTGTTCACGCCTTGTCCATCTATAAGGAAAAAGGAATAACAATAATAGTGATAAGGACAACTGGTCACTTTTTAGTGTGATTTAGTATACCTGAAACCACGAGATACAAAGTAGAGGCAACAGAGAAAAAGAAAAAGCTCAGAAGAGGCAGTGAGAGGTACAATATAATTTTCAAGAATTATCAAGGTAAGGGGGAAAATGATGCAGGCAAATAACTCAATGAGAATGTGTACACAGGAAACCAACCTGAGAATTAAAATTATTGCACATAAGTGGGGTTTGTAGTCCTAGAAGTATTAATGCTTCAAGGCATAAAAGATGGTCCCTCCGTTGGGAATTCCAAATAAATCTTCCTAAAATGCTTTTCAATATAGAGTTCATAGGTGAAGACATACTTATAGCTCAGACCAAATTCCTAGCTATGTTTTACCGTTGTTGTTTCTCTCGCCGGGCAATTTCTTTTAGCTTGAAGGCTGCTTCACAACGCCGCCTTCGCCGGTCCCCACGTTCTGCAGCCTCTATCTTCATCTGTTCTTTCTTGTAACTACGCTGGTAGGCTGTTACTAGGCGCCGAAGCCTAGCTGTTAGGGCAGAGCCAGGAGGCCAGAATAAATGGCCTGGCTGTTGGGTCACCTGGGCTGTGGGGAAACAAAGTAGAATGAATAGGAGGTATACAGAAATAGTAGTAGAGATAATACTGGTATTTTAACCCACCCAAAGGCAGAACTCTTAGAAATCCCAGGATAGCATAGTATTCAGTCAATTCCCCAACCTCACCACCCCACACAGTATTGTACTATTTGACCTAGAAGTTTACCTTCATCTCCATCAATCACTGAGATCTCCTCATCCATCATCATCAAGGGATCACCCTAGAGAAGGAGATTCACCCCAAATAATGGAGTGGGGAGGGAAAGGGGGGGAAGTTGGCACTATGAAGTCACTTTGTGTGTGTTCTATGGCACCAAGGGATTGAGAAAAATACCTAATGAACCCTCACAAAAATTTGGAAACAATCAACTAAATAAGAAAGTAGAACGGGAAAGGTCAATTCATATTAATGACTTGAAGAAAATGGTATTTGAAAATTAATTAGTAAAATAATATGCTTCAAGTTTGAGCTTGGGTCCCCCCTCATCTACAAAGCTATCACTGTTCTCCCCCAGCTAGCATCTTAATTCTTTCCATTAATGCTTTGTATTCGTAAATGGTATTTACTTTTAATTTTTTATTATGTTAATCAATACACTCAAGATTGTGACAATGGGATGATACTTAACTTCTTAGTAGCAGAGAAAAGCTAGATTCAAATAAGAATTCCTTACCTCATCATCTTGGTCCTTTGGGGGACCCTGGAGTGGTTTATATTCAGGATCTTCACAATCCTTATCAAAGTCAACCCTAAAATTATCCAGAGACAGAAAAAAATGTTAATAATGTACTATTAACAAGAGGAACCTAGGATAAAGACCTACCATAAAATCCAGCATGGAATAGTCTTTAATGCTCACAGAAATGGCAGAACAGGTCCTAAGCTTTGGATCAGTTAAGTATGGCCTCTAACAAAACAAAAATTTATGAAATACTAGTAATCATTCATAACTGATTGAATTTAAAATTCATTTCTCTTGATATCTCTGTTTATTGTTTAACCCATTCTCTCTCTCCTGTTTACTTTTTATTGTTTCTTTTAAATGGTCTATACCTTTTTGTTTTTACTACTTTGCTCTGTTGAACAAAAAGGTACATAATAAATGACCTTCCTCTGAGGGTCCTATGTAAAGCAAAATGAGGTTGTGATCATGAAAGAGAAATCTGATTCTTGAAGAAATAGGTATTTACTAAGCCACTTAATTCACATGCCCCTCAGCTCTCCACGTGAGAAGTTTTGTTAAACTCACTGGCACCCAAACCAGGGCAACACTGCCCTACCTGGTGGCTCAGTATTAGCATGGCAATTCATCATCGGGACATATACCAAGACAGAGTAAATACCTTTAGGTGTCAATTGAAAGATGATAAACCAGGGTTAAAATTTCCTGAGGCGCTATTACATAAACAACATGTGAGAGCTGCCTGGCTATTATCTTTCAAGAGAAGTAGTTACCCTCTCAGCTACTATAATGGTACTGAAGAGCACAAGTGCAAATAAGCCATTAATGAGTATCACTAATTTTTACCATTAGTTGCATCTTATAGTAATGTGTGGTATAGGCCACTTTATGGAGTCCATTCTGTTGGACCTACTCTTTGTTAAGGAATTAGCATTGATGTGTATATCCTCCATTAAGAGTCCTAGTGGGTTTGGGACCAGCAGTTGGCACAATGGTAACATCACTGAATTCCCATGTA